AAGAGCACACAGTGTGTAAGTCCATTTCTACAAAGTCCAAAAGGTGTTGCTAAATTGCTTAGGGGTCAGTGCCTTGTGGTGGTTATGCTACAAGGAAACCAGAAGAACAGCCAGTGTGCAAGAGAGAAGAACGAGTGGCTGGAGCAGCTGGGGTGGTGAGGAAGGGGTTTTCAGAAGGCATGCGTGGTGGGAAGGGCACTTCTATGAGGTCGGCCATGTCCTGCTTTGAGATCAAGGCTAGTTATGTTGGCATTCGCTATACAAGTCTTTAAGTCGTCTCTGCAGTCATGGACTATGATATCTTTAACTTTTTGGGGGAAGCTATCTAGAAGAGGAATAGCTAGGTCAAATGGAATTTCTCATTTTGGCTTTTTGAGGACTTTCCACACTGGTTTCCCCAGTGGCTAAACCACTTTACACTTCCATTAATTGTGAGGAAGCCCCCTGTCCCCCACACCCCCACCACAGCCTCACTAGTATTTATTACTGGTTGATTTCTTGCTAACTGGAGTGAGATGCAGTAAGTATTGATTTAATTTACCCTTTTTTTTTTTTGAAAGGCCAGAGATGTTGAACTTTTGTTTTCATGTATTTATTGGCCATTTGTGGTTCTTCATCTAAGAAGTGTCTGTTTATTTCCTGTGCCCATGTTTCAGGTGATTCTTTAAATATTTTAGTTCTTTATATATTCTAGATATTAGTCTTTTGTCTGAGGAATAGCTGGCAGCTTTTTCTTCCCATTCTGCCATAGTTCTTCCTCCTTCCTAAAATCATTCTAGGAGTTTTCTTTCACCAGGGATGATCAGAAGTTTAGTAAATGTTGCTGCTGAAATCCACCCCATGGAAAGGGTTGTAAAAATATTATGATGTATCATTAAGTTAAAAAGCAAAATAAAAGATAGATAATAGAATAGGAAACAGGGAGCTAGAGCTTTTGCAAAACAAAAGGAGACCAAGAGACAGTCAGGTGGAAGGAGGAAAGAAAAACATATGAAAATAGAATTAAGATGTGTTATATACCTGTATCAATGTCCCACACTGAATCTAGTCATTATGTACTACAAACATGTACTAACAAAAATAAAGTCATTATGGTTTCTCATGCACCTTATTCATCAGATCTGGCAGCGTGTGACTTCTGCCTCTTCCTCAAAGTCAAAATGAACATTAAAGGTAATTGTTATGAATCAATTCAGGACATTGAGGCAACCATAAAAGCACAACTAAAAATACTAAGATAGAGGATATTAATTAAGGAGCTACTTCAAAAAGTGGTAAAAACTATGGGGTAAGTGTGTTTGAAGCAAAGAGGAGTAGTTCTGAGGAGAACTAGTA